TAGCCAGTCCCTCGTTACTACAATCCCCTGTTACGCTTAATAATTATTTATATTAAACTCTCCCTGTTCAAATTACTATTTGGTTTCTCTCCCTAATTAGATGTAGAATGATATAAAAATATAGTGTGAGCCAGAAATATCTGCTTTTTAAAAAAATCTTTATAACCATTTCCTTATCAGAAGACAGTATATTTTGACATCCACTTACAGTAGACCAATAAGCACATCTAATATCCAGAAAGCTATAGCTCAATGTAGGAAGAGAATCTACACTCATTTTGAACTGAAGTGACTTGAGAATCTCGATAATTTCAGCCACTGTTCTAATCATCTATAGCTATGTAGCAAGCAACCCCCAAACTTAGTAGCTTAAAATAACCAGTTTTATGTATTTCATGATTTCAAGGGTCGGTGAATCCTTTGGTGAATCCTTCTGTTCCATGTGGTGTCAATAGAGGTCACTTGGTGGTACTCAGCTGGAACTCGGGCTGGTCAAGAAGGTCGAAGACAGCATCTCTTATGTTTCTGACACCTTGGGGAGAGGCCTGGAAGGCTGGGCTCAGCTGGGACCGTCAGCCGAAATGCCTACACATAACTGTTCCGGCCTGGTAGCCTCAGGATAGTCAGATTCCTTATGGGGCATCTCAGGGCTCTAAGAGTGAGTGTTCTAGCAAACGAGGTAACAGCTGCATGGTCTTTGATGATCCAACCTTGGAAAGCACTTCTCAGATAACCATCCTGGTTTATCCAGTTCTGAGGAATTTTCTGGGGGACTTGCAGTGCTAAAACCAGGACTGTCCTGGGGAACCCAGAACGCTTGGTCGTCCTAGTGCCATCCTGCATCAGTCCAAGCAGTCACAGCCCCACCTAGGTTCGAGGGGAGGGAACATAGATCCCATACCTATAGAGGTCTATGGGAGATGTCAAAGAATCTGAAATTACGTTTTTAAAAACACCCAGCCAGTTAATCTCTCCGAGACTCAATTTCCTTATTTCTAGGAAATAAGAGACTTGTAGAAAGGTGGCTTCTAAACTTTGATCCAGCTCCAAATATTGATTCTGTCAATGGGAGACTGAAAAGACATCAAGAACCATTGTTGAGCTGCAAAAAACTCACTGTGCGTTCAGGTTGACAATAGATTATTGTCCTCAAAGAGAACTCCACGTCACTTTTTTCCTGATTTATTTATTAAATTTCACAAGGCGTGTAGTTGTGGGTCTTTTTTTTTTTTTTTTTTTCCTGCATCTTGCTCAGCAAACCGGAAACTCTTTTAATTAGCAGACTTACTTAAGTTCTGGGAATTTTTCATGAATATATTTTTTCTTCCATTATCACTTATTCTACCTTTCCGGAAGTCTTATTGAATAAATGTTAAAACTTCTGGGTCTATTTTCTGCTTCTTAACTATTTTCTCATACTTTCCATGTTTTTGTCTGTCTTAGTTTGCTAGGGCTGCCATAACAAAACAACACAGACTGGGGGGCTTCAACAAGAGAAATGTATTTTCTCATAATTCTGGAGACTGGATGTCCAAGATCAAGGCTTTTCTCCTTGGCTTGCAGGTGGCTGCCTTCTTGCTGTGTCCTCATGTGGCCTTTCCTCTGTGGGCGTAGATCCGTGGTACATCTTGTTGTGTGCCCAAATTTCCTCTTGTTGTAAGGACATTAGTTAGATTTCATTGGGGCCCACCCATATGACCTCATTTAACCTAAATTACCTCTATAAAGGCCCTATATCCAAATATAGTCACACTCTGAGGTACTGGGAGTTAGGGCGTCAACATATGAAGTATTAAGGGAACGCAGTTCAGCCCGTGACATTGTCCTTTTGCCCTACCTTCTGGTAGAAACACTGGGCTCAATTTTCCTGCTCAGTAACTGGATCATAGCATATCCACTCTGCTATTTCTCCTATTGAAGATTTTTATTTCAATAATCATAATTTTTATTTCCCAAAACTCTAATGTTTCTTTTTCATATCAGCCTTTTCTTTCATGTATACAATATTCTCTTGAATCTTCCACAATAATAATTTTTTCTAGTTTAAATATATGATTCTATTATCTGAGACTGTTCCCTCAGGGCTTAGTTCCTCTACTTCCTGAATTTTGAGCCTCTTTTTAAGATGTTACTTTTCTTCAAATGTTTGATGATATCTCGCCATCTGAGAAGGAGCAGTGTACTCCCAGCTTATCTCCTGGGTTGAGAGCTCTTCTTGGCATTTGTAAGTTATCTGGGGTACCTCTTCCAGTGCACATCTGTAAGAACCCCCACTTCAGAGACCCCTATTCAAGATTTTGTCCTGATAGCAAATTTTATTTTTACATACAAATTTTATTTTTCCTTTTACGGAAAGGAGGCCAGTTGAATCCAGCATAGATTTTCCCCCCTCAGTAGGTCTTGTCTTACATAGGGTTCATCTCCAACTCGAACTCACATGCTAGGGGCCTTGGCTTTTACTGTTTCTTATTTTGTTTCCAAAGCAGTTAGGATAATAATCGGAAAGCAGAAAGCCTTTGTTTCCAGCTGTTCGGCTGATGTGGCGAAGGAGCGAGGAGTTGGACTCTCCTAGCGCAGCTTTGTCAAATGCGGCTCCTCAAGTGCCCTGAGGGTTATTACACTGGGACCCCATTGAACTTTGCACATGTTTGCTCATTGTTGGGATTACTAACGTCACCTTTGTAGTAGCTTTCTTCTATCCGTGTTTTTCTCTACTGGTTTTTATCTTCCAGGAATTTCTCAAAATATACAGACGTCTCATAGTAACCTGTGCTGTTTTGCAGCACTCCTAAAGGTTATTTTCTGTCATTTCAATGGAGTTTTGGGTGTCAGGGGAGTTACATAGGTATGCTTAGGTCACTGTCTTGATATAATCCCTATTGAGTTTTAAATTGAAGAAATAAAAATAATCATGCTCAACTCAAAAAGTTACAAAAAAGATAAGATATAATTGTACATAAAGCAAAAACCATAAGCTTCCTGTTATTCTCCTCCTAACCACACCCCCTTCTCCAGTAGAAGCTTCTCCCAATAGTTTACTATGGACCCTTCCACACTGTTTTTCCAAGCATTTACAAGAATATGCAAGATATGTAGAAGTTTTTTCTTGCTAAAACTGGAATCGCACTATTACAACTTTTCTGCAATTACTTTTTCACTTAAGAATGGTCAACATCTTCCCAGGTCAGTACATATAGATGATCTCATTCCTTTTATGGCTGCATAATATCTTTAGGGTGGAAATGCTATGTAGTCAGGCAGACATGATGACATTTCGTTCAATGACAAACTACGTATATGACAGTGATCTCTATAAGATTGGTACCATATAGCCTAGGTGTGCAGCAGGCTATACCACCTAGGTTCGTGTAAGTACACTCTATGATGTTCGCACAATGACAGAATTGCCTAACAACTCATTTCTCAGGCCATATCCCTGTCATTAAGCAACTCATCACTGTAATTTATGATGTCAATTCTCCAGTTGATGGATGCTATGGACTGAATATTTGTGCCTGCCCCAAAATTATATGTTGAAGTCCAAATGCCTAATGTGATGGTATTTGGAGGTGGGATCTTGGGAGGTGCTTAGGTCATGAGAGTGGAGCCTTCATGAGTGGGATTAGCGTCCTTATAGAAAAGAACCCGGAGAGTTAGCTTGCCCTTCTGCCCTGTGAGTTTACAGTGAGAAGCCAGTGATCAGTGAGAAAGTGCTGCAATGAGAAAGCAGGTTCTCACCAGACAACAACTCTGCCAGTGCCTTGTTGTTGAACTTCCAGCCTCCAGAACTGTGAGAAATAAATCTCTCTTGCTTATAAGCCACCCAGTCTATGGTATTTTGTTATGGCAGTCTGAACAGACTAACAATGCATATTTAGGTTGTTTTCAAAAAGCTTACGGTTTGATTCAACACCTCAAAGAGTTATCAAGGTATTCTATGAATCGGGAGTATGCAACAACGTTTTATATCATCATAGAAAATATTTTTAAACCACTATTACATATGGAAAATGGAGACTATTCCAGGAAAAGTCATTTAGTTGTCTCTTATGCTTGAGATTAAAATTATTAGACAGAAAGAACTAAGTAACACTGGCCATGGCTGAGCATGAATGGAACCATCTTGTCAACTATTTGTTCTATGTGGGTCATCTGAGGTTCTGTCAAGTCTGAACACGTTGCCTTAAACTGTTGAAAATCCAAAAATAGCTGTGTTACTGCTTTCCTTACTGTTCCTTATTCATCTCAGATCAGTTCACTTCTGTGAGATGTTTTGTCCTAATATTTATTTAAGAGCTCTCTGTGTGCCAGGCATGGTACTTTAGCCAGAGTATTTCATGTAACCCATAACCAATCGAGAAAAGTACTATCCCCGTTTTTAAATTAGACAGATTTTGTTCAAATCCCAGTTTTATTCTTTGTTAGCTGTGTAACCTTGTGCAAGTAGTAGAACTTCTGTGAGCCTTGGTTCCTTGTAAATGAAATAAGGACCATACTCTAGTATTCAATCATTTAACAAGCATTTACTGAGCTCTTACCATACCAGGCATTCTGTCAGGCACTGAGTGGCAAGGTTGTTTGGAGGATTAAATGAAATCATGTGTGTGACATAAATCCTGGCACAAAATCGGCATTCAAATAATAACTACTATTATTGTAGCTAGAAAGACACCAGGGCTGTCTTTGACAACAAGGGTTGAATTTGAACCTAGGTCTGTATGAGTCCAAAGTCCCCTTCCCCCTTTTTTCAAGACTTCATGCAATCCAAATCATACAATTCTTACAAGTTTAAGAAGTAAACCTAAAACCATCATGGTTTCTAGCCCAAATAGTTTTTTACTTCTCTGATTTCATTATTTCTTTGCACTATGTACTACATGATGTAGTTTTCCATAAGTTGTGGTATATTTTTCTCTAGAGTCTTTTTAAATGTACCTTGGGCTCTCAAGACTTCGAGTGGACAGATGGTACTTTCTCCTTCTTTTACTTTTGTTTTACAGGGCTTCGGCTGTGACTAGACATGGAGTAGACTGAGCAATATACAAATACAATCTGATTTCACAAAATTTGCAAATGAAATGAAAGGACAACAACTATGATACATGATACATGAACTCACTATTGTGAAAGAGGTGAGTGATGGAAGATTGAAGAAGAGGCAAAATTTTAAAACATCAAGGCTTTTTGAAGTTGAAAGAGATTAATACCAATGCCCTTGATGTTACAGTAATAAAATTGGGAACGCGAGTGGAAGTCAGCAAGGGTAAACATCTGACCCAACAGTTCATTCAGGGTTGTAAACAGAAAGGACTTCACAGCTCAGACGGTAAGCATTTTCATCGCTTCCCATAAGCAGCAATGCTACGCATTCTTCACTAAAATCCTGCAGTTTGCTTGTTATTTTTAACTGATTATTAGATGATTTCCACATGAGGATCCATAACCAAGAAGGCAATAGGGCAATAAAGCCAAGCATAGCCAGAATTTCTATTAGCTCCAGCAATACATTGCATCTAAAACTGAAAACTGGAAATGCCTTTGTCAGCTCTTCGTACATATGTTTGTGTGTGCACTTTTCCATTTTTATATAATAACTCCTTGACTAATTCTGCCGAAACAAAGCAATGTGGTTAGTGGGTAGGGGGGATCTCTCAGAGCAGGAGAGGATTTGGTTGTTTGCACTTAGTGGAATGAGCAAGTTGGCTGCAAATGGGGGCAGGCACCACGGAAAGAACCCTAGATGCGGAGTTAGAATCCTGAGTTCTTGTCCTAAATGTCACTAATCAACTGTGGTGCCTGGGGCAAGCCACTTAAGTTTTCTGCTGTGCCCTAGTTTTTCTTGTTATAAATTGGGACAATAAGGCTTGCTCTACTTACCTCATTAGTTTGTTATGAGGGTCACAGGAGTTAATCTGCATGAAGGTACTTTTAAAACATAAAGCTATCTGTAAATGCAATGCATTTTCATTTTGTATATTGAATTTTGAAACTATAAAATAAACCTGTAGTTGAATGACACTCCATCTTGGCTGTTGTGGCTCATACAAACAGGTATAATAAATTTGCTAATATTATACACTGAAATTGTATTTCCAGTAAGAATTGATAGAGGAGTCAGAACAGTTCTATACATATGAGCCCAAGAGTATGTTAGAAACTGATATATTAGCAACTGATAGCTATAGGAGATGTCGAGATAAAGACATAATAGTCAATGTGCAATCTAGATCAGTGAGTTTAACATTTGATAAAATAATAGTGAGGTTGAATGTTTTGCTATAGTACAAATTCTTTGAAAATTTAATCTGAACAGGTATGAAAGTAAAGAAAAGTATTACATAATTAGAATCAAATATTTTTAGATGGAAAAAACGTTAGAGAATATTCTAATCCAACTCCCTTGGTTTTGCAGCTGAAAACGTAGAAACTCGGTTTGCATGCGTTTTATCCAAAACCATACATGTGAGATAGTGGCAAGGTTATTCTAATATTCTGGTTACTCAGAGCTATCTCTGAAACCATTTTGCAAATCCAAAGTGAGAGACCGGCTCAAGGTGGTGGCTACATTAAGAATCTGGGATTCCAGGGTTAATCCTGCTGTGGCTGGGCTACGAGACTAGAGGAAGCTCACGAACAGCCAGGAGTCAAGGCAGATTTGTTGAATGATCCGTTCCAATAAAAGAGCTGAAGTGGGTCAAACAAATTCTAAAGGAAAGAACAGGCTGTCTGAAGGGAGACCTTGAGCGGGAGACAATGTAGATACAAGAAGTAGAGTCTAGCAGTTGACTCACTAACCAGAAAGGGCTTGGGAATAATTGCAATAAGAGAATAATGGTGGTACTACTACTACTTATAGCTAAATTTTATTGAGTGCTATGTGCCAGGCATGGTGCTAAGTGTTTTACATAATTATCTTTTTAAAACCTCAAACACAGACACACACACAAAATTGAGTTAGGAACCATTATCTCATTTTGGGGAGGAAGAAATGGAGGCATAGTGGGAGAGTTAGAGCTTAACCTGCGTAATATAGTGCAAAGTCCACATGCTCAACAGCTGTGGTCCATGACCTCCAAAGAAGGGAGGAACAGGAGCCAACTTGGTGGCATACTGATTAAGTTTGCATGCTCTGCTTCAGCGGCCCGGGGTTTGTGGGTGTGGATCCCAGGCACAGACCTACACACTGCTCATCAAGCCATGCTCTGGCGGCATCCTACATACAAAATAGAGGAAGATTGGCACAGATGTCAGCTCAGGGCCAATCTTCCTCACCAAAAAAAAAAAAAAAAGTAGAAGGGAGGAACAGTAAGAGAACATGTGCAGGATTTAGCAATTCCAGTCCTTGGTTCATAGACTAGTTGGTAGGGGTGCAGTCTATGACTTACACAAACTATGAATTTGAATATAATAAACTACCTACAACCTATGTCTAAACTTTGTTTCAAAATCATAACTTCACATTAGCATCTTACACTAATTCTGCCGTTCATATACCTGTGATTTTTCATTTTAGTGTAGATATGATAAAGTGGACATAGAGAGTCATTGGATATCAGCTTGCAATTAATTCTAGTGGATTAATGTTTATACCAAACAACAATCAAAATAAAGTAATAAAATCTTTTTTCTTTTTTGCTGAGGAAGATTTGCCCTGTGCTAAAATCTGTGCCAGTCTTCCTCTATTTTGTATGTGGGTCACCACTACAGCATGGCTGCTGCCAAGTGGTGTAGGTCTACACTTGGGAACCAAACCTGGGTCACTGAAGCAGAGTGTGCTGAACTTAATCACTAAGCCAGAGGGCCAGCCCCCCAGATCTTTTTTTTTTTTTTTTTTTTTTTGCTGAGAAAGATTCATTCTGAGCTAACATCCATTGCCAATCTTCCTCTTTTTGCTTTAGGAAGATTTGCCTTGAGCTAACAGCTGTGCCAATCTTGCTCTATTTTGTCTGTGGGTCGCTGCCACAGCATGGTTGCCTATAAGTGATATAGGTCCGTGCCCAGGAACCAAACCCAGGCTGCTGAAGCCAAGTGCACCAAACTTAACCTCTTGGCCACGGGGCTGGCCCAGATCATTTTTATACTAGTTAAATGTTTTTTACATCAGAATTACAGAATCAGAAATCTATCAAATGTTTATATATCTGTTTAGAAGAAGGTATTTCTGGGCATTCACCATATTACCAATATTCATTAATTCTTTCAACAAATACCTATTGAGTATCCATTGTGTGCCAAGCTTTGTTATAGGCACCAGGGTTATCTATTACATATACCAAAGTTCCCGCTATCATGGAATTTATACTCTAGTGAAGCTGAGAAATGATAAGTAAACAAGTAAATAAATACAATAATTTCAGATAGTAAGAAATGCTATGAAGAAAATAGAAAAGGACGATATGAGAGACTGTGATGAGAGCAGGAGGAATTTTAACTCTCTAACTGCCCCCACTCCATCATTAAAAATCAATGAAGATTTCCTTTCCTAAATGTAGAATATTCCTCTGAATTGAGTTTAAAATAAGCACCAAAAATATGCTTGCATTAATAGAAATATTAACTACACGTTGCCCATTTGAAATGGGGCCAGCTCCAGAAAAATCACGTCTTGGTTCTGTGTGACCCAGGGATGCTCATGGGTAGGGCCCACTGGGCATTTTCCACTCCATCACTGGCCTTTTCTTGCGGCCTCTTTCGGGGTAACATAACACTGGATTCCAGTCAGCTGTTCAAGATTGGCGAAATAACTGACTGCTGTGCTCAGGTTAGTTCACAAAGGCGCAGGACGTAAATTTCCCCTGTTTTATCACATCCGTAGATAAAATCAGGGTAAGTCGATAATACAAACTGGCATTTTGAAGTTATCAAGAAACTCTCGATATTAGCCAGATCATTTTCATAACGTTGCCATTTCATTTTCGTAAATAAAGAAGCTCCGATTGGGAAATAATGCCTGTTGTGTTTTATCACGTAAAAGAAAACCATCACTGAAGTTCAAAGGCATAAAGCTCTTGAGATGTGGAGATCTTCTTTTTACAAACTGACAGCCCCCATTGTGTCTCTATGGTTAATATGGAAAAGATGAATGCAAACTTTGTGACTTTGAGATAAGCTACAATAAAAATTTGGCCCAAGATATTGTTTCGGTGAAATGAAATCTTTCAAAATCCACAGTTTAGGAGAATGAGATTGAAATGGGGAGAGAGATTGTGAGGTAGGAATAGGGGAGAAATGTGAAGAGGAATGAGAAAGTTAGCAAAGACGGGACTGTTAGGAGGTGAAGCCACTCATGCCAATTTGGGGCCCTGGCCATGTCCACCTCCATCTCTTACAACAGGGGAAGTCTCTGTATCAGATTTACAAAGAAATCCTACTGGGTACCGCAGTCTCCAATGGAAGCTGCTCCTCCTAATCTCAAAAACAGAACCAGCCAGGACAGTCCCTTTGAAAGATTTCATTTGGTTTGGGCCCAAATCACATATGCTCAGGAGAGCTGTCCGCAATGCTTTGCCTCAGAACCAGCACAAGGAATGTATTTTCTCTCAGTCGGTCCCGAGTCCCCGGGGGATACAGGCACCATCAAATGCAGATTGACATCTATTTGTAGCACAACTAGAAAAGGCAGTTTCATTCTGAATTATTTAACGTGGCAACATTTTGCACATATAAATCATGTCCAGCTTTATTAGATTAGGCCAATTGAAGAAATATATACACCTGCCTGTCATGTAAAGCCCTTCATCTTGGGGAGTAGATTCCCCAGGGGGACATCTCAGGAGGTAAATTGAATACTGAGTGGTTTATCTTGTGATGGGGCCTGAATTGGAAATTGAAATTCCTGCATGGACATCGAATTTCACATCAAAAATGAGAACCTAGTTCCTCTCTCTTGGTTACCAGGGTACTAATCAGACTAGAAACTGAGATTTGCATAACTATGGCCGTTCTGTGCCCTTTCTGTTGGAGCTGGGCCCTGTCAATGTGATAATGTTCGTAAAGCCCTTTGAGGTCTTGGGATGAAAGGCATTCTACAAACACAAACTATCACTTGCATAAATCAGCCAAGTAGCTTGATATTATTTCTCTCCATCCTTGGGTTTGCCAGAACAGGACAGGAGATAGCAAATGGTATACAGCGAGATGAAAGGATAGAGATTAATAGGCGACGGCTTTTTAATCAGATAAGGGATGATGATGCACAGTTGATAGGCCTGATTTCTATTAGGAGAAAAAAAATACACCCAGGGTTGTTCTCATTGTCCTCAAAATCTCAGAGGGAAATCTCTTGCATAAAAACAGGCTGCATCTCAAACGCTCTTCCTAATTTAAGTTCAGGAAAAAAAAGCACTTAGTGCCACATATGGGGACAGCACCAAGAAAATGGGATTGGATTCCTTCCCCCCTCCCCTTTTTTTTTAAACCTCGTTAAAGGGAGAAACTATGCATCTGAAAAGAAAAACACGACGAGGAGACCCAGTGCCATTACTTTGGAGAGCTGAGAGGTGGAGAATGAAAAAGCCATTGGTCTCAGTTTTACTGCCACAATGGCCTTTTATGAGAGGGATTAGATACGCCAAGAACTGGGGCGGCATTCACTGGTGCCCCAACGACAATCTGGAAAAAGGACGATAAAAATCAGTTTGCCGTAAGGTTAAATCACCAAAGACTTCCTAGATTGGCTTTTCAGATTGTTTTTCCTTTGGAAAGAAGATGAAAAAAGAAAGAAATATGGGCTCAAGGCTGATTTTTTTTCCCTCAGTGCAAGATGTAGCATTCAGAAAACATGTTGAGCGAGTCGAGGCATTAAAAAGATCAGTCTTTGGCTGTTGAATGAAAGGCTGTTGTGCGTGTGACTCACATACTAAATGGAAACCTGCCTTCAAAGCCGATTTTACTGCCTAATTATATATACACAAAATGTAGCTGTCTGTTTCAATCAAATCATAGGAAAAGGAATAAAACTCCTCTAAAGATGCAATTTTCATGGTTTGTCATAACCTTAGAAACACTGCTAATGCACAAGTAGGAAGTGCAGCTGCACGGTCCAGATAAGGTTCCAGTAATTGTTTTTCTTTTAATTATTACTTTATAAAGACATTATACCTCCTGCTCCGAAGAAGGAAAATTAGTGTCCTCTGTCTCCGCTTTCTCCCTCCCTTCTCATTTCACACCAAGCTTGTTGATATGCATTTCGGCTGTGGCTAGGAGCCAGCGTAGCTATGGAAATAATATTTAAGTAACTACCATAACGACAGGCTTTTGGAGGGTTCAGGGAGGAAGCCTTTTCCAAATTTATGTTTTGAATTGAGTAGAGCTTTCCAAAGCACAAAATAGAGTGCCAGGGATCAAGATAAAGTGCTGAGACCTAAACAACTGTTTGTACTCAGCTTTCATGAAAATAGCTTTGATTCAAATAGCTAATATATTTATTTTTTAAAATCCTTAATTGCACGAATATTTTCATTGTTGTCATCCTCACTGAAGAACGATGTAAGAAAATACACGAAAGGCTTTTGCCCCTAATCTATACAGATCTTTTTTGTACAATAAGCCGAAACTGTAAAGTTTAATAAGCCATTACTAATTTACATATTTTCAGAGATTCAAATCATTAAAATGCAATGATATTTTAATGGCTTAATATATATCTAATTGCGGATTAAAACTTTCTAACACTGGCGATGGCACTGAACGTACCACCAAGGGATTCCAAGTGTCTAATTCAGAAAGCATTAGCAGCTACTGACATTTCTGAGGGAAACATAGAGTCCATCTGTGGATAAGTAAATTGATTACCTTATAATGTGCATGTTTTTAAAAAGTCATAATCTTAACTACACCTACCACCCTTCTCCTTAATCTCTTCCCACCTACCTCCAGTTCTGTCTGCAGCCTGATTCAACTTGGAACCTGCTGTGTTAATCCATAGAGTAAACAATTAGATTATGAATTCTATGATATTTAAGCAGATGTGATCATAAAACCACTCTCAGTGACTCTGAGAAATCCTGGGCCATGAGGGGTATGTGGGAAATCAGAAAGAGGCAAGAATTGAATGAGGCTTGTGCTCTAGAAATCACTGCCCACATCTCAAGTTCCAAGTGAGATTTGTGACCTATTGAAAACAAAAGTGCATCTATGTTCATAGCAGCACTAGTCACAACAGCCAAAAAGTGGAATCAATGCAAATGTCCATCAACAGATGAGTGGATAAACAAATTATGGTGTGTGTATATATATATATATATATATATACACACACACATACACACGTACCCTGGAATATTATTTAATGATAATAAGTAATGAAATACTGATACATGTTACAATGTGGATGAATTTTGAAAACATTGTGCAAAGCAAAAGAAGCCAGGCACAAAAGGTCACATATTATATGATTGCATTTATATGAAATATCCAGAATAGATAAATCCACAGACATCCATAGACACACAAAGCAGACTGAAGGTTGTCAAAGGCTGAGGGGAAGAGAAAATAGGATGTAACTTTAATGAGTAAGGGGTTTTATTTTGGAGTGATGAAAACATTTTAGGACTAGATAGAGATGGTAGTTGGAGAACATTGTGAATGTACTA